ATCTTGGAGTGGCGCCACGCCCAGTCTCTTCTGGGGCTTAACAAAGTGCGGGATTTCTGCAGCCAGCTGGAGCAATTCCAGGCTGCACAACTTGCGGTGCCAAGCGGGCAGGCGTCAGGTTCAAGTGGAGAGCCACAAGAAGACAAGAGGTGGAGGCGAGTGTGGGATTTGCACGGCGCCCTCATGTTGGTGTGGGAGGATTCGCTGGCAGACGACCAGAAGATCTTCGATGCGGTCCTTCATGCCGGAATGGGCTTCCAAGCATCCCTCGACATACAACGTTTGGCCCCGGCTGTCAGGGGTGAGATTATGGCGCAGTTTGAGACCATGTGTTACATTGGTCTCAAGCCAGCGTGGGATGCGGCCCGAAGAGACAATGAGTTGTCGTAGCTACGGCTGCTGGACAACAAGCTGGTAGTTTGGCGGGCCATGGAGATAATCAAAGATGATATTCGAGCGGCCAGACTAAAGGTAATCGATGACTATTTCCACCAGCGGCTGAAGGTGCTGTCGCTGGAGGAAGCATTCCGGGAAAACAGGAGGGTGACGGCGCTAGAGGCGGACAGGGCGTTCCTGATGCATTTGCCGCCGGCCCCTCCCAGGCGGGATTTGAGGTCACCGTCGCTAAGGAAAGCATTGGCGGAGTGGCATGCATGTGACATGGCCATACAGGAGAAGTGGAGGTTTGATGCCGTCCGAGTCGAAGTCCAGGGATGGCTTCAGGGGCACAAGCCCAGACCTGATTTCGACCGTGAGGAGACGCCACCGGCAGAGAAGCATGGGTGACTGGGGTAGCGCATGGTGCAGGGTGCAGCTACCGGGTGGAAGATGTTTTGATGTGACTTGTAAGTATTGACTAGACCATATATGATATCAAGGGGATGTATGAAGGGTATGCGGACGGGCGGAAATGTGATATGGGTGAACTGAGATGGACATTGTAAACGAGAGGGGGATCAAGAGGGTTTAGTGAGATGACCAGTGGGGCGGTGTGAAGGTCAGGCTGTGAGGGGTATCCAGATGTATGGCTGTGGGGAGATCCGGATCCCCAAATGGACCTTATGGTGGACCTTTTGCCTTTTGTCGTATGACCCTGGTCAGGACAATGTATAAAGTGGCGGGGGTGCGCATTGTAGCCGCCTCCGGTCTGTAAGAGCATTCATCTTGCTACCGGAGCACCTGAACGGGCCTCCTCACGAAGTGAGGGTGGGACCTGACGGTCGGGCGGGTGATTCCCTGCGTAGGGATAAGCCCAGTGTCCTGTGTGAAGCGATTTCGGTCGCCTTTTGATGCGGTGATTCGATGTACGGTTTCCTCCGCATGTTGAATTCCATTGCGCCCACCCCGAAGGGTCGTGCCATGTTCAGGCACCGATCTTTACAGTTCTGCTATCAATCAAAATGCCCGCAAATTAGCGCATGTAAAAGATAGCACCAGGCTCGCTGCCCCCCGGGCTGGTTTCCCCCGGCCTGAGTTTGGCAGCTGCGTCTGCAGCTGGGCTTTGAATTAGTCAACAGGTCAACGACCCCAGGAGGCGGCGTAGGGGGCCAGTATTGAGCCCCAACAACGGTGCCGCTTTCATTCCTCTTGGTGTTTTCAGGAACTTGTCTGTTACAACGCCGTCAATATCTCATCACTTCCCAGCTTGGTCGCCCACATGGCTGCGCTCGAAATGAACGAGCATCTGCCCTGCCGCAGAACGCACCATTCACTGCGCGTGCTATTATACATTCGATTCCCTGACACACGGTTTTTATGCACATGATAAATGACAGCCAGTGTGCACCTCGGCCCTTTTAGACTGCACGTGATAGCCCCCACCACTGTGCTACCCTTTCCTATCAAATCACAGTAAGCAGAAGTCACGCATCTCGAGTCGACGCCCGTCAGGTCTGTTTTCTCTTTTTGGCTGGCGCCCAAGTTTCAACCCTGAGATGCATCCACAGGCGAAACCTTATCCTCCTGGTAGATCTCCATGAATGTCTGCAGAACAACATACCTCGAGTGTGAACAATCGATACTGACAAATGTCCGCAAATCCAGAAATTTCGCGCGCGCAGATTATACTCACGTTGGCTAACGCCCGAATCTCAGCAATTTCATCCATAGGCGAATTGATCTATTTTAAATCAGCACGATTTGGAGTCAAAACTTCTAAATTACGCAGCCTTATCGCGTGCGCTTTGAATGGAAAATGTTAAGTCACTCCATTGAAAACCATTCATTTGAATTTCGTCACAACACTGTGCAAAACGCCAAATTCTCGGCCATTGAATTCTGGACGACATTCGGCCAGCGCAACCTCCTCACCTCCTGGCAGTTCTCCTCAACCAGGCTTTCCATAGGGGACGCATACAGGCTGAAGGCAGTCCCGTCGTCTTGCACCGCGTCTTCAAGCAGTGCGCAGCCCATGTGGTTGTACAGCAGCCTCGCGCAATCTGGGTCACAAGTTCTTTCAGCGAAATGTAGCGCAACACAGTAATTTAAATTTTATCACTTGCCTACAAAAGTGTTGCCACGCACCCAACGTCATGACATGTGACATGTGCCATAATTTGTGCTTCGTGACGTGCGTCACACGTGTCGCAATACGCGCGTCTTGCCACTGAAGAGACGCTCATAAGAGACATGGGTGTTCACAACGCGCTCGCAAGCGTTGGCAAGCGCAATTGCTTTGATGAAAACACATGAGGCTGCAATTAAATAACGTCGAATACAGCAGACGAATGTCGCAGCAGAAAGCGAAGCCAGACGGCGGAAAGCTGACTGGATCGCACCTGCGCTGGTTCTGTCACGGTAGCCACCACTTCAAAGCCATTGGCTCACAGCAAACGATGCTGCTACGGATTCATCGGTATTGAAAATGCAATTGCCATCAAGTAAATCAAATAATCACATGAGCAAAGTTACTCATTTGATGATTTCATCTACTGGCTGGTTGTATTTTTATGTTCGGCTCCAAATGTGCACAATTGCTGCACAGTGCCTGCACACTATCAATTCATCTATCATGCTTGGGATTATGTTTACCCATATTACCGTGCGCTTCAAACTGCACAGTGCTGAGAAGGAGCGCGAATCTGAGATTGTTGACAAAGCTGCAGCTTCGTGGTTCAAAAGGAGGCACGTGTACATCACCTCGTACTACCCACCTTTCGAGCACTTCCAAAGGGCAGCCAGCGCGTCGCTTCCCAATTCCAGAGCGCCCCTGGCCTCCCTCCCACACGTTTTTTCAATTTCGCTCCAAAATTCCGGCGAGAGATTTGGGTAGACGATGTCGACGGAATTGAGGCCCGTGCTGTCGCACTTCAGCTCCCCGGACAGGTAGGCCTGGCGCCACTTGGGCACCGCCGTGCCGACGTCATCGGCGTCGGCGATTTCCGTGAATGACGTAACGTTTCGGGGGCAGCGACGTGCCAAAGTACCGGGGACCCGAGCAGAAGAGCAGGGCCTCAAGGGCCTGGGCGGGGTAATCTGCGGCACGGGGAAGTCAGCGATAAGCCAGAGCAGGGACGGCAATCAGCTTGAGGTATGTGCGCACAGTATGCATCCATGGATGCGACGGTAGAAAACAAATGTAAGTGCAAAAAGCAGCAATAATAGGTGCAAGTGTGGTAAATGTACGCATGCACTGATACTGATAGTGGTGGAAGAGAAGCATTGCGTGTAACATGTACAAAGGCTGTAACATGCATATTCCACTATGTAACAGACATAATTTCAAAATATTGTCACTCTAAAGTCCCAGCCTCGGGCGACGTCGCCGGAATTCATCGTTGCCGGAGGGGGGCGAGGCTGTCGATGGCCCCGACGACCAACCCCATACATCTTTGCGACAATCCTGCCGACGCCGCGGAGGCCCAGCCATCCTCCCAACCTCTTTCGGCGACGTCGCTGGAGGTAAGGCCTTTTCTCTATCATCGCTTCAGAGTTGAGAGTATTGCAGAGAGCAGTAGAAACCATTGCACTCATTTTGAGCACGCGGCACGAGACAGTCCTCCGATGTGGGTTGCATCGGTGAAAAGAACGGACCATAGACTCATTTTAGACTTTTTCAATTTTTTTAATCTAGCCATGATGGTTCCATCTTTAAATGGTGTCATTCAGGACGGGTCACTATCCATGAAACTAGCAGCTGAAACTTCGTTTCGCCAATCGTCCCTGTTTTGCAAAATTGCTCTGTGGGCACACGACGCGCAGAAAATCAACGCAGATCAAACAGAAGTGCTCTTATTGGCCAGAAACGTGCCAATTGCTTTCGCTCCACTGTTGGGCATTTGTTCAACAGCGGTCGGACATGCGGCAAAACAAGGCGCGGAATGCGGCATGTCTCCCAGGTGCTTACAATAGTTGAAGCTGATGCACATTTCGTCATATGATCCAACGCCACCGCTGGTGAACTCCTCCCTGTCCATTGTGTTGTAAACGCAGGTGGTGGCCAAGAAATCACCGTCTCGCAGGGGCGTGGGAGCCATGCGGCCAAAGTGCTGCAAATCGAAGTCCCAAGCGTCGTCCCGCGCCAGTTCGCCAACCTGTGTCCCGGCCGGTTGACTTCAGTCGGCTTTAACATCGATGTGTGGTTCCAATCAAGGAATCGACCACGAATCTAATGTGAGAGTGAATCATCACAAGCGAAGCAAACCCAATCGGGTCAAGTAGATCGAACATAAGCATAACACGGGTTGGGGCAAATTGCAAGCGACAGTCGAAGGCCTCCAGAGATGAAGATTCATGTACTCCCCATGAACCATCTACCTCTAAATCACTGCAAATTGGCCAAAGACATCTTTTGATAATAAACAACGTATGAAATGAACCAATTCGTGCCTAACTATATTTACAAAAACTTTTGAAAATGCGTTTCGGCTTTACTAGATCTGTATTCAATATGCTTGCATCACCTTTTCGGGCAAAGCTCACAAGAAACTGTCGCACAGTACTGAGCCCCATGATATTCCCCGAAACTGAGTTTCGCTCAGGTGTCGGAAAGTGGCGCGCACCTTCTCCAGCTCGCTGAAGTCCGTCACGAAGCTGCCGTTCGAAGGACCGCTCTGCGGCTTGACGACCAGGCGGTCGGTCCACATTCGCCGCCCTGTGAGGTGCATGTGGGGCATGTAGCCGAAGACCTGCACGCCGCCGGGTGCGGCCGTCTCGTTGATGGATATCTGGCAGATTGTGGATGAGTAAATGGTGTCCGTCTTGGGCGGAAGAAGTCCCACGCTGAGGATGGTGCCGCTCCAGAGGATGCCCACCTGCGGGCCAGATATCGCGTCGCTTCTATTAAGAGTATGATCCTTGCAACAATGCATACGCCGAGGAATGGAATGCTTCAATCCCGATCCTAAGATCGAACTCCTTGGGAGATAAATTTTCACGGATGCTGTGCTGAGCTGCGCTCATTTCGCTGCCTGTTTTCAGTTGTTCGCCTTCTTGCGGTCGCCACGATGAACTAACAATCACTGGCGCTGTTCGGAATGACCCAGCTTTTGAACACACCACACGACGAAAATAACAAGTCGCATTAGACATCATCAAATTGCCCTATTACACTGTGCAATCGCCATTTCAGTAGTGCGCAATATTGTGGGTGTTTACTATTACCATACGCATTTGCTGCCGATTACCTCGTCCTTGCGAAGATCCGGTGTGAGGTGTATGCGCACTCCACTGTTGTCCCTCTGTCCCTTCTTCTCCAATGGGTTGTCGTAATGGATCTCAAGCTCGCCGCCGAGTCGGCGGGTGCCCTTTCCGACGGGAATACCGGCGTTCTTGGGAGAAGAGAAGTTACCTGGCATTCAAAACCATTTGTCAGGTATTGCAGACATTCGCCCATGACTCAAACATTCGCCACCGTTGTTTGCAGCCGTCTAAATAATTGCGACTATGTGCTAGGAGTTACATTAAAGGCTAGGTAATTATCAAGTCCGTAAGTAGGAAAATCGAGTACAGGATGACTTGCAAATAAGTGCATCCAGGCACTGGAGAGATTCTTTTGACATTCATGGCTGAAGGTGCAGCAATGTGCACATGGCAAGGGTATCAATAACGTCTCAATGTGCGTACTTATTACATAGTGTCGCACCAACACTTGGCGTCCGGCCGCTGGGTAATTACTTAGAGTATCTACAATACTGGGGCAACGTCCTGGTGTGCGTCTTGGTATACAAGTTCACAGGCAGTGGGTGTTCTCTGAGCAAATCCAAACGTCGTTTCGGGTAATTTCTACCACCAGAACATCGGCTCAGTAGCAAATGCCCTTCGCAACACCATACAACATACCAACACATTGCGCATGCAGCTATGAGATTGCCATAACAGGGTTGCATGGTCCACGCAACACCCATTTTGCATTCCCAGATGTCGCTGGAGTCTTATATGTGGGAAGCGCTTTTGAATGACTAACCCGTTCATCAATTTAATCAAGCGCATTTTAAAATTAACATTTTCAGGAAATGCTTGCAACACATGGCACTCATCCACAGTAAGCTGCACACAATCGCCCGCAATGGTTTTCAATGACTCACCGGTCCCTGGTGCCCAAATGTAGAGGTATTCCTGGCACTGTAATATCATCGAATCCACGTCCGGGATGGGCTCCCCGGGCACCTCCGTCCCCTCGCTGCACCCCTTTATCACGAAGTGGTGCACAAACTCCTCGTTTTCCACCAAAGGCTCAACGCCTACGATGTGGTAGGTCCTGTCGTCCTGTTCGCGAACACTAAATTCAGTCATAATTGTTCTTCGTTTTAATGTTCTTCATGACCGTAGTCTAATTTACGACTAATCAACAATTAGTCATAATTGAATTCAGTCGCAAAACAATGACTGAGTCACGATTAAGTTAGTCATAAGTGTGGTTAGTGCAGTTGTAATTGCTGGAATAAGAACCTGTGTTCAAATTAATGAAGGCTGGGTACAGTGTATGGTGCTAGTACTCCGCATGCAGGGGTGCTAAAGTAACGTCGTGTACGTATATTCGTTCCATTGGTGTACTACAAACGACAGCATGTTTTTCCCCGGGATCGACTTCGACCTCTCAGAAGCTGTTATTGTCATTCCAAAGTGCCCAAGGCAAGGTTGCTGACAGACATTCACATTTCTCTGTAGATTCTTACGCATTCTCGACAGAAACGCAAATACATAAGATACATGCGACAGGCACTGAATGAATCAACTGAATTACCCATTCACAAATGAATTCAAGATTAGGAAAATTTAGAAACACAAATGAAACGTACAACAATATATACAATTAAATAAAGGAACCTATTTAACTCCGTACCAAATAGTACTGAATATGGTGCCAAACTGCTGGTGCACCAAATAAAAATGAAACTAGCAGCAAATAATATTTAAGCTGGTGCCACACTAACAACGCACCAAATAAAATTGAAATTAGTACCACCACATATTGAATCTGATGCCAAATTACCGCAGGTAACAACAGTGTTGAACCGGTACAAATAAGTCATCGAATCGCCGCCGCCATAAGGGGTCATAAATTACAGACCCTAAACCAAGCACAAGCCCAATGCTGGTCACAGAGTTGGTCGCAGACTGCCATTCGATGACTTATTGGTACTGGTTCAACATTTTTTATTACACCGTTCAATATTTTCCGCACCGGTGCGATTTTGGTACAAGATTCAATATGCATCGATACTAGTTCCAATTTCATTTGGTGCGTGGGCAGTTTCGTACTAGATTCAATATTATTTAGTACGGAGTTAATATACGCGACAGAGGAATAAATAAAAAATACTAATAGCATGTTCGCGAACACTAACGAGACGCCTCTTACCGGGAAATTGAAACGCGCGTAGTGATAGATCGTTTCCTGAGCTGGCAGGTCGTGGTCGTCTATTCTAAAATCCACAGTCACGCGCTCCTCCCCGTCGATGTAGAAGCTCTCCGGCTGCAGCGGCGGCGTAGAGTCGCACATCAGCGCCAGGTCGTCTTTGGCGGGAGGCTGGCTCGGCAGGGACGACGCGAAGCCTGGGTGCGTGACCTCGTACTCCTCAGCGCTCATCCACAGAGGAAGGCTCGCCCCCTGCCACAGTTCCCAAGATTCATAACACACTCTGCGACGCAAATCATACGACTATGACTGACTTCCCGCTTTCTGAACGGCACAGCATACGTGCTTCATCCAACATGTTCATTGGTGGCCTCAATGATATTTTTCCACTTCCTAATGAGTTTGATTAGTTCAAATAATGAACGATAGCCAACCGGCCAATATTGTGGCACCAGCAATGCTACTCCTCAGTGCGGACATGCGAATATCGGTTGGGCTACTTGGCGCTCCTCGCCGGCAATCCACAGCGGCGGGTCAGCTCCCTGCCGAGCTCCAAACACATTCGAAATTGCAGTCGCCGAGCTTTGACACAGCGAATCGCTTTCGATGAATCAGGGACAATCCCGTTTCTAAACTCAATCTATGACCATTTTTTGGGAATCGCCATAAATTCCTTCCTCGGCAGCTATCAATTTGCGCTTTGGACAATTGGTGTAAAGTTCACCAAAACGGTTTCCTGAGAAAAAAACTTGCTTCGCTTCGTTTCCAGGCGAGCTATACTGATACGAGTCTCAACCACGCAACGGTTTTCGAACACGGGAGAG